TTTTCACAGCTTTTACTGTGAAGAAACCTTTCCGTGTTTGGAGATTAAGTTTCTTTTCTCCAGACGTAAAGAGTGCCCCCTTGTCCTCTGTGATGACCTCAGGGTGAATAGCTCTACACCGAGTTCACTATATGAACCACTGATGTATTTATACATGTTGATCATATCCCCCCTTAATCTCCTCTTCTCAGTAGAGAATAAATTCAGTTCCTTTAATCTTTCCTCATAGCTGATCTCCTCCATGCCTCGTATCAGATTGGTTGCCCTTCTATGTACTTTCTCCAGTTCTCCAATGTTCTTTTTGTGAATTGGTGCCCAAAATTGAACTGCATATTCCAAATGAGGTCTTACTAATGATTTGTACAGGGGTAAAATGATATCTCTCTCTCTGGAGTCTATACCTCTTTTAATACAAGAGAGGATTTTGCTCGCTTTAGAAACCACAGCTTGTCATTGCATGCCATTATAAAGCTTGTGATTTACCAGAACTCCCAGATCCTTCTCCACCATTGATTCCCCCAGTTTTAGTCCATGTCCCTATAGCAGTGGCAGATTATATAAAAAGCCCAGACAGCTATCCAGGATTCCAGGAGAGCCCATGGGAGACTAAAAAAAGTTCTGCACTTTGGTGTTTTTCATAGTAAGTCAGTTTTCACCTTTGAAATGTTTTAATTTTTGGTTTTGAGAAAGCCAACAACAATTACAGCTTATGAATTTCTTTTTAGAAGGCTTTCCTTTAAGATTTTCAAACCACCATACAGAATATGTGTGTACACTCCCTATACCTGAAAGCATTGTTTCCATATTATATGCTAGCATAACATTAGTAGTTTCTAAAGGGCATACCGCTGTATGAGATTCAATTCAAAATTACATCATGGCATTCCAAATCTTGTGAAAATATTTTACAAATCCATGTCAGAAGCAAAACGCATTTGTCCTTCTGCATGATCCTATTAAACTGCCAGGGGCCATAAACTAATAACATTTTTGGGGTACATAGTATGAAGAATACACAGGTCAGCAATAGGATCTCTAAAAACAGTGCTTATCAGCAATTACCAGATCCTATTGTGTACATCAGTTATTCACTAAAATGTTGTAGAAATCTCCCATGCCAGTGGTGGAGTAACACCCCACTGGTACGGCCATTGAGGGAACAGCTGTCAGCATTACTATTTCCTATGTCAGCTAAAGTATATTGTTCCTTAGGTCAAGAGCTCACTAGACAGAGGTAATGTGCTGATTCGCTGTCAAATGAGCAGGCTTCAAACAGGAAGATGACAAAGCAAGCTGAATTACTGAACCGGAAAGATGCATTGCTCAACTATGACTGTCACCTGTCTAGCTATGCATTGTGAAATATGTGTGAAATAGGGATGGGCTTATAATTTGGTCCAAACATAAGTTTGGACCGAGCCTTGGCTGTCCATTAATTTAGATGAACGACTGAATATTTGCTTGTTCGACTGGAGTCAAACGTCATATATAACAGCAATATCACTATAAATGTTGTGCAGGCACCAACAAATCCTTAACAATCAATGATGTCACCAGCACCATTCACATTCATAGCCCAGAATCCAAGGTCATGTAAGAAAAGAAGCCAGGGATAGATAGTTGAAAAATGTTGTGGGGCTTCCCCTATAATTCATACCAAGCCCTCCAAATCTGGTATGAATTTTAAGGGAGAACCCCACACAAAGATCATGAAAAAATGAGATCCACTAATAAATCCTTACCAGAGCATGCAGCCAGGCAGGCCAGGAAAGGGGAGAACAAGAATGCAGTTCTCCCCTCTTCAATTTTACCGAGCCATACACCCTCAACATGGAAGGTAACCGTTGCTGGGTAGGGGGCCCACTAATGAAGTACCTTGCCCCCATGTTGATGAAGACAATGGCCTTTTTCCCCACAACCCTTGCTCTGTGGTTGTGGGGGTCTGCAAGAGGGTAGAGGCTTACAGGAATCTTGAAGCCCCCTTAAGGCTACTTTCACACTGATTCGCCACAAACACACCTCAAAAACACATGTGCATTTTTACTGTGTTTTTGAAGCGTTTTTACTGTGTTTTTACTGCTTTTTTTAAAGGACATGTGACTTAAACCTGCATTACAAACGCTTCTCAGAGGCGTTTTTCAGGAGTTTTCTATTGATTTCAAAGGGAAGAGGCATTTTGGGGCATTTTTTTAAACTACCCAAACATGCCCCAAATATGCTGCAAGCAGGAGTTTTTACACCACACCGCAAGCGCAATACCTTGGTGTGAAAACATACATACATACAGTGGGGCAAAAAAGTATTTAGTCAGCCACCAATTGTGCAAGTTCTCCTACTTAAAAAGATGAAAGAGGCCTGTAATTGGCATCATAGGTAGACCTCAACTATGAGAGACAAAATGAGAAAAAAAAATCCAGACAATCACATTGGCTGATTTGGAAAGAATTTATTTGCAAATTATGGTGGAAAATAAGTATTTGGTCAATATAAAAAGTTCATCTCAATACTTTGTTATATATCCTTTGTTGGCAATGACAGAGGTCAAACGTTTCCTGTAAGCCTTCACAAGGTTGGCACACACTGTTGCTGGTATGTTGGCCCATTCCTCCATGCAGATCTCCTCTAGAGCAGTGATGTTTTGGGGCTGTCGCTGGGCAACACGGACTTTCAACTCCCTCCAAAGGTTTTCTATGGGATTGAGATCTGGAGACTGGCTAGGCCACTCCAGGACCTTGAAATGCTTCTTACAAAGCCACTCCTTCGTTGCCTGGGCGGTATGTTTGGGATCATTGTCATGTTGGAAGACCCAGCCACGTTTCATCTTCAATGCCCTTGCTGGTGGAAGGAGGTTTGCACTCAAAATCTCACGATCCATGGCCCCATTCATTCTGTCCTGTACATGGATCAGTCGTCCTGGTCCCTTTGCGGAGAAACAGCCCCAAAGCATGATGTTGCCACCCCTATGCTTCACAGTAGGTATGGTGTTCTTTGGATGCAACTCAGCATTCTCTCTCTCCTCCAAACACGACGAGTTGTGTTTCTACCAAACAGTTCTATTTTTGTTTCATCTGACCATATGACATTCTCCCAATCCTCTTCTGGATCATCCAAATGCTCTCTAGCAAACTTCAGACGGGCCCGGACATGTACTGGCTTAAGCAGGGGGACACGTCTGGCACTGCAGGATCTGAGTCCCTGGCGGCGTTGTGTGTTACTGATGGTAGCCTTTGTTACGTTGGTCCCGGCTCTCTGCAGGTCATTCACTAGGTCCCCCCGTGTGGTCCTGGGATTTTTGCTCACCGTTCTTGTGATCATTTTGACCCCACAGGGTGAGATCTTGCGTGGAGCCCCAGATCGAGGGAGATTATCAGTGGTCTTGTATGTCTTCCATTTTCTAATTATTGCTCCCACAGTTGATTTGTTCACACCAAGCTGCTTGCCTATTGCAGATTCAGTCTTCCCAGCCTGGTGCAGGTCTACAATTTTGTATTCTGGTGTCCTTCGACAGCTCTTTGGTCCATAGTGGAGTTTGGAGTGTGACTGTTTGAGGTTGTGGACAGGTGTCTTTTATACTGATAACAAGTTCAAACAGGTGCCATTGATACAGGTAATGAGTGCAGGACAGAGGAGCCTCTTAAAGAAGAAGGTACAGGTCTGTGAGAGCCAGACATCTTGCTTGTTTGTAGGTGACCAAATACTTAATTTCCACCATAATTTGCAAATAAATTCTTTCCAAATCAGCCAATGTGATTGTCTGGATTTTTTTTTTCTCATTTTGTCTCTCATAGTTGAGGTCTACCTATGATGCCAATTACAGGCCTCTCTCATCTTTTTAAGTGGGAGAACTTGCACAATTGGTGGCTGACTAAATACTTTTTTGCCCCACTGTATACATTCACATACACAGGGAAGCAGTTTTCTTGAGCTTTCCAGGTGTTTTTTTTTAACACAAAAACACTTGAAAAACTCCTCAGTGTGCAAGCAGCTTTAATAATAGGGGGGCCCAGATAACAGTCACTTTTGTGAATTTTGTAAGGTACGTAACCCGACTCAGTCACAAAAAAAAGTAAAGTATAAATAAAGACAGAGACAGTTTTTGGCAAGCTCTCTTTGGCAAGTAATTAAAAAAAATGTTTCAAGATGTACAGCCACTGTTAATCACATGGAGTCTGATAAGAACCTGAGGAGGGAACTCCCACGTTTTTCTTTATTTGGTGGGTAAAATAAACACATCTATATGAGACCGTTATCTAGGATAAGGTTCTAGTATAGATGAAGAGAATCCCTGGCCACTTTGTTTAAAAACAGAATGAAACAGCTGGGCGCTGTCATTTTGCTGGCAATTTAAACACACTTTTTTCTCTATAAATGTCAGTTTTGCTCTAGTAGGCTGTATAAATCGCATAGATGTGTCACTTCACTCAGGGCATCCCCAGACATGTTATTTAACCGCTAGCCTACAGGGCACTTATACCCCTTTCCTGCCCAGGCCAATTTCCAGCTTTCAGCGCTGTTGCACTTTGAATGACAATTGCGCAATCATGCAGCACTGTACCCATATGAAATTTTTAGCTTTTTTTTGTGACAGATAGAGCTTTATTTTGGTGGTATTTAATCACCTCTGGGTTTTTTATTTTTTCTTAAACAAACCAAAAACCACTGAAAATTTTGAAAAAAAAAGATTTTTTCTTTGTTTTTGTTATAAAAGTTTGTAAATAAGTGATTTTTCTCCTTCAGTGATGTGCGCTAATGAGGCTGCACTGATGGGCAATGATAGGCTGCACTGATGGACACTGATAGGTGGCACTGATGAGGAGGCACTGGTAGGTGGCACTGATGGGCATTGACAGGCATCACTGATGGGCACTGAAAGGCAGCACTCATTTATGGCACTGATAGGCGGCACTGATAGGCAGCACTGATAGGTGGCACTGTTAGGTGGCATTGACTGTCACTGTTAGGTGGCACTGACTGGCACTGTTAGGCGGCACTGATAGGCAGCACCGATGCACACTGATAGGCGGCACTGACTGGCACTGATAGGAGGCACTGACTGGCACTGATTGGCAGCACTGATAGGTGTCACTGACTGGCATTGATAAGGGGCACTGACTGGCACTGATGGGTGACACTGAAAGGCAGCTCAGATGGGCACTGATATGTGGCATTGATGTGGCACTGATGGGCACTGAAATGTGGCACTGATGTGGCACTGATGAGCACTGGCAGGTGGCATGGATGAGCACTGAGAGCTGGCACTAATGGACACTGATAGGTGGCACTGCTGGGGCTACACAGATCATCAGGGCACACTGATCATCAGTGCTCTGATGATCAGTGTACATGTCCCCTCTGAGGAATGCCGATTACCGGCTCTCCTTTCCTCATGAGCTGCCAACGTGACAGCTCGTGGGGAGAGAAATGCCAATAACCAGCATTTCTCTGTTTACATGTGATCAGCTGTGATTGGACACAGCTGATCACATGACCGAGCCAACATCTTCGGCTCTTTCCGTTGATCGGTGATCCGCTGTGTCCGAGGAGCCATGCATGCACGGTTAGAATGGGAGGATGACGTCCTCCCCAGAACGAGAGAACCGCCTTGCGTCCGTCATTTTACTATATGGCGGGGGAGGCGGTTAAGGGAATTTAGCATTTTTAATGTTTCACTTTAAACATTACTAGAAATTGCTGCTCCCCAGCAAACAGAATTTTAGTATTTTTTTCCCTGCCCCCATGCCATTTGTTTAACAACGGAAAAACAGAATGGTTGGCCACACAAACATCAATGTGGTGGATGAATTCCTTTATTGGAATCCTTTATATGCAATATGATAAGAACATGAAAGCTCCCAGACAAGACAAAGGAGCAGTAGACGCGTTTCACATGAACTGAGTAATGACTAAGCACGTGTTCATGTGAAACACGTCTACTGCTCATTTGTTCTATCTTGGAGCTGTCATGTTATCATATTGCATGTAAAGGATTCCAAGAAAGGATTTCATCCACCACATTGTTGTTTGTGCGGCCAACCATTCTGTTTTTCCATTGCATCTGTGATCACGGATCAGGCTAGCAGCTGCATGTCTGTGGAGGGGTTATGCAGATTCAGCACTCACCTGGAGCGAATCTTTTGCTCTTTCATTTGTTTAACAACCCCTTGCCTATTAGGCCTAGAAAATGCCTATGTCTCTATTTTTAACTTTCAGCTCCCATTAACTTCAATAGTGTTTAATTTAGTAAACTTTGCCAAACCCAGTCATAACAAACCCAGATATATTCAGTTTATTACTAAAGTGTAAATTACAAAACCGGTTGTACAATATTACAAATCCTTTGGCAGGTAAAACAGTTAACACATATGATTTTAAAGATAAACTCCAGACAGAAATAAAAAAAAATATGCCAATGAAATCAGTGTTCTTATTATAAAGAGACATTAAATGTGTTTTAAATGCAACTAGTCGCAATTTTACCTTAATTGCTCTTGAATTTGTCTTGTAAACCCCTATACACATCTGAGAGAGGTAGGGACAGGTGTGCTGCATTCATATGTGCTAGCCAGTAACATGTCAACAAGGAGAGAGCAGAGGGATGACCTCACCAATTTATTGCTGCTCCTTCACTCGGGTACGGCGAGGAGTTGACCAGGTTGGGTTGCTTAACTGCAGCAGAGAAAAGGCAGGCCACTGAGCTATATACCGTAATATCAGGATTAGATGGACAGGAATACAAATCCTTTGGCAGAAAACACAACTTTATATTTATTTCTTCTGTGTATGTAGCTGTTTAACTGGAGGTTTGCTTTTAGTTAAGGAAGGGAGGATTGTGACTACTCTTGTAAAGTAAAGACATGCTATTAGCTTAACGCAGACTTTCATCCCCCAGGTCAACTAGGGCTCAGTGCACTGCCCCTACCCTCTGAAATTTAAATCAACACCTTTTTAGGGGGTTTAAACTTTATTCCTGACCCAGCCCACGCGCTGCCATTCTCTACTACCCAAGAATGATATGTCCCTACTGTTTAGCCTGCTGGGATTCCACATCATATATCCCAGGAGGCTGCAGGAGTAGGGGCTCACAGCAGCCAGTGGATGGAGCTGTGGACATCATCAAAGGCTGGCTGCCTGAACCCAGAAAAGCCAGGTGGCTTTTGATGACTAATAAGGATCAAGATGGGATACGGAAGCTGGGCTGCTACACCTGATTAGTGAATTGCAGTAGGACAATTCTGGATCCACAAGTAAGTATCTGAATCCAGGACAATGCTAAAGTAAGGTGGGCTAAAAAAATTCAGAGAAGCGACTGAAGTTCCTCTTTAATTTGCACCCGCCCATATTGGCCCTAGCATCTGTGTATGTATAGTACAGTGTTTCTCAACCTCTTTTTCAGTCAAGGCACCTTTTAAAATTAAAGACTTTCCTGAGGCACCCTTTAAAATTATGGACAGTCTTGAGGCACCCCATTCTAAAATTGAGTGCCTCTAGACTGTCCATAATTTGGGTCCATAATGGGGTGCCTCAAGGCTGTCCATAATTTTAAAAGGGCACCCCATTCTAAAATGTGAAAAACTATTCTAATAGTTTTATATAACACAGCAACATCCACACATGTAGGACACCCAACATTAGAGGTGATTTATTCTTCCAAAGCAAATACACTTTTGCACACTGGTACTGAGTAGTATTCCAATGTTTCTCTTCTCCATCAATTTTTCTCCATTACTGAACTAATGAGACTCCAGGACTGATGGAGAGGGGCAGGGGAGGGTCAACCTAGGATGTTGTGCAGGCAGCTGACATCCTCCTTAACAACTGATGATGTCATTGGTGGTCAGGACTCCGGCAGCTAGAAGGTCATAATGGTGCACAATGAAATTGTGTGGCTTTGTGTAACTAAAAGGTGGGCTTATTCAACCCGCTGGCTTGTATACAAGTTTTGGGCAATTTGTAGACATTTTATCAAGGTACCTCTAAGGAAACCTCAAGGCACCCCAAGGTGCCTGGACACCCTGGTTGAGAAAGGCTGGTATAGTATGTGAAATGTGGACCTTAAACTGTAAACTTCTTGAGGGCAAGGACTGATGTGAATGATATATATGTAAAGTACCGCATACATTGTCATAGTTATATAAATACCTGTAAAAAATAAATACATAGCATAAAGCAACCTGAAAGATCAGCTAATATAAGGTGTTGAAACAATTAGCGGGGGCATGATAAAAGCATCAGGCATACTTAGATTACGAATTAATAAAACAAGTTATGAGACATCTAATTAAACTGAGACCAAAAGTCATGAAATTTAGAGTTTTGCTGTAAATATAAATCTTAAGTGTACTGCCTGCACTATAAAACTCAAGAGTGTGATTGTTAACATCACTTTGAGGCAACTATTCTAAGAAGAGCCCTGTTGAGATCGCCATCAATTAAAGAGCTCCATTAACAGCACTGTTATTTAATAAACCCTACGCAGAGTACTGCTATATATAAGACCTGCTGAGAGAAAAATACCAAGTTATAGGAATTAACAGACCATGTTCTTCTTACTACTGTTAAAACGTTATCACTATAAAAGAACAGGAAAAGTTACAAGTAATCCTTGTTGCAGAAATGTCATATAAGAAAAAGTCCGCTGGTGTTGTTGCTATCAAACGCTGTGGAGTTTAAAGCAAAATTTCAGCAATAAAGATAACTGGCTGAGTGAATTAGCCTCCGTGTGGCTTCCTGCCCTTTACGACTGCGTTTTTCTTTCAGACTCCACACATAAAACAGGAGAATAGCTAAACCCCTGTGGAATCCAATGCAAAATATGATGCAAGGCCTCACAAGATACCATTGTTTTAACATTCTCCATAAACACAAATGCTTCACACTGTATAATAAGTTTGTAAACATAAAAGTATATTCTAGATAAGAAAAACATCTTGATGATATTTCCATTGATGTAATGAGATGGGAAAGAGAGATGTGTCTATAAATCAGGGTCAGAGCAAGGCCCTGAGGCCATAGAAGCTATAGCGGTTGATGAATCTGTTACCCGTTTTGTGTTGCCACATAGATAAAGTTAAATCTGAAGAAGAATAGACAGAGGGTCTAGATGACTGAGGAAAGCAATGGGCCGAGAAAGGCTTGAGATGTGATCTTGAGATAGGAGTGAGGTCTTAAACAACTTATAACTGTACTCCTGCTGCCACAAGGGAGACTGGCTCAGAACCTCACTTAGCGGCAGTGGCTATCCGCCATGAGTGCAATGCGTGCGGTGCACATGGGCCCACATTGCACAACAATGGAGAAACACTGTTCTGTTCTCTGTCTTTGCTACAGCCGTGATTGTCATTTGCAGCTGCAGCAAAGATCCCACCAGTGTTTGTAATGGGGGAGGAAAGTGGGTGCCTGTCTAATCCCAGTGTAAGCCGTGTACCGGGGTGGGCTCCCCAGGATACAGTGAAGTCACGAACGAGGAAAGAAACCCCAACACCAGCTTTTGCCACAACAGAATTTTACTTAGATGTGGCAAATGAACACAACCACAAATGCTGGAAACATACAATAAATTTACATACACCCAGCCCAAAGGCTGAGACCCTTGTGCTGCACAGCACGGCGCCTTCTGATGGATGAAGGTAGAAAGTGAAGTAATTTACCTACTGGCGGGCACAATTAAGCTGCCACACCTTACCCGTTATTACCCTAAAAGAGCAGGAATCAGTGTATGGGTGTACGGTATGGGCTAGGCTGCGGCGCAGTACAACAGCTTACAATCTTACACACCTCTACAGTACTCCCCCTCCCATAACTGGTCCTGTAGCACGTGCCTGAGTATTCCTTCTGAGCAAAACGCCGGTATGGCTTGAGTTTGTAGGATTTTATCAGCTCTCCAATGTGAAATGTCACTTTAAGTTGTGGAGTCCTTCCAATAATCAGTAACAACACTTGTTGCCTGACACAAACAGAGACCCTAACTAACTAACTATAGGCCTGGACTAAGTCTCAAGGCGCCAATACTGAAATGAGGTACGTGCACAATCTTACCGACCCGGGTCTGCTTTGCATCCGCTGGTGACTCTGAACAGAACAAATGTCTCTCCAACAAGCATGCGGTCATGCCATATATGTTGCTTAGTTCCTCTGCTCTCATCAGCCTTTCTGGCAGAAATCTCATCAGCTTCCTGGCAGCAATCTCATTAGCTCACACGGTCCCTTCATTCAGCATCGTCCAAAACATGGCTGCAGTCTCCTCTTCCTGTTCACTAAACTCCAACTCTGAGTGCAAAACCCCACCTCTTCATGAATATACAAATATCTATGCAGTCTGAGCCTGTTAGAAAAACAGTGACATCCTGTGGCTAAACCGCAGTATGTCAGTCAAAACATTAATTTACTTCCACACAAACAGTGTTCAAACAATGAGAGCTGTTTCCCCATCTCACACCAGGAGGGTGGGTCCCTATTTTCAGGGACAGGAGGAATGTAATTGGCC